ACTCAACGTTGATTCTGATTCTGCAGAACTCTGTTGGGTGTGAAAAAGTATTTGTTGTTAACATTCTTTTTTCATTCGATTTTTCCAGTTACGAGGCCTTTTATAAAGCTGATCGTTTTGTGTTCATTTTGTTTAGTTCTTTTTTTCGTAACAGATTTAATGTTTAGTATAGATCTTAGAAAAATTCGCAGTGTGAGATAGGCAAGAAGTAGCGGGTCAAGTGTTAGCGATTGCTGAATGAGTCGTACGATTTTTTAATCAAGCACGGGCAACGCCCCGCCATGCTACCATTGGGTATATAATAATAATGCTGTAATTTGGCTTTGTATTTTCAATATAAAATAGAATTTACTTTAGTTTACATGGATAAATATCGACGCCCAATAAACATTTCTTTCTGAACAAATATAAATTCTATCTGTACATTCTCATTGTCTCATAAAATTTTCAAATGCGAATGCAAACTTCTAATGTGGTGTGACCGTTTACACTTAATCGCGAGATATAGCAATTTTAATAAAACGGGTTTGACAGATATCTAGAAAATGTAATAATGTAGCTCAGTCTAATATGTTACCTGGTAGTAACAACTTAAAGAAACTTTCGCTATAGTTGCATTGTTTTTAGTTAAATTCGATACTGTCTAGAAAGGTTGAGACAATTTTCCTTATATGAATCGACCGATTGGTTCAAGTATTCTGGTTTCACATTCTAATCAATCGTTCTATTATCAATATATATATATATATATATATATATATATATATATATATATATATATATATATATATATATATATATCACGGACCAAATGGGATAATACGGCTGTACAGTGCTTTCTGCATTCTGTTGAAGAATATTCTGGGCTCGATGAATTAATACTTATATATATATTGTTGTGGTACGATCCACCTAATTTACATAGTGGAGTACCGACCATATAAATATGGTTGGTACCGGGAAGACGGGGAGGGGGGAGAAGAGATCCAATCCAGAGACTCTGCCAGACTGCGAGTAAGTCAACCCATTCTACAGGAACGGTCTTCCCAAGAATATACCAAACTATCTGTAAATATTGTGTACACGTTCTTGTGTCAATACATTTTGTTTAAGTACATTTTTTTGTGTATTATTATTATTCCATGCTTTATTCAAGTTTCAACATATATATATATATATATATATATATATATATATATATATATATATATTCATCGAGCCCAGAAAAATGTTTGCGTCCTGACTACTCTCCGTTAGCATTCGAACTTGCGTCTCCTTTTGCAATTGCAACCATCGTCTGATGCAGCATGATTTGCCCGCTCAGCTCCGAAGAGCTTCGCAATAAAGAGAAGTAACATTTTCCCTTCAAAGAACATTAACACGTTCAGGTAGAAGTTTGCATTATTTTTAGCCCTTCATAGCCGAAGGTTGGAAGGACGTCTTAGTAGAACGCATGATGAACTGAGAAAACCTGTTATGGCTGATTGATATGTTTATCCTTTAGCACTCTGCATTACAAAAATCACTTCCCTTTCCATTATATTCTTTTTTAAGGCCTCTCAATCGCAGTGTTCTTATTGTTAATTTCACTTGTTGTTAATTTCAAGTTGTTACCTGTTGCCTTAGCTGGATATAACAGCACAACTAAGAAAATCAAACACTATTATTGAAGGATCACTGTCACTTTAAGTGACAGAATAAAGTCTTTGTACAGCAAATGAAGTCAAATGCATGGTGATGAATGTTATTGTCATTTCAACTACTTATGGATCATTTATTACCAAATTTAATTTTCTTGGGAGCTTTGAAGTAATAAAAATATGGTAGATGTTAGTCTACTTTCACAATTGTTTACATGGTAGATGATGCTCTGACTTTAGCATACACATGTTTGTGTGGACATGAATACCAGAGGCATTAGTAGTGTATTTTATCTTTGTAGTTAGAGTCATAATTTGGAATACAGTTTGATTTCGTTTTGTAATTGTAGGATATTATAAAGACTGTCATGAAACAGTTTTTTCATGTTGATTAACTTTGTTGCTTTTGTTTGGCGTCATATCAATCTCTATGTGTTATTAGACGCCGAAATCTACATATTTTGTACGTAATTTTATGTTTATAACTACATATATTTTGTACAGAATATAATACTATCAGATAAATTATATGCTTTTAGCTATATATTTTGTATTGTTGGTAATTGTACTATATATATATATATCTATATATATATATCTATCTATCTATCTATCTATGTATATATATATATATATTTAGCTTTACACTGTTTGTTAATTACCTATAAAAATGTATTGTTGGTCATTTTATCATAAAAATAATATATTGTTGACTTTTATTCGAGTTCAATATTTGCGGCTTCAATGTTTGGGTTCAATATGGCGGGTTCAATATTTGCCAATAGCTGTGGCCTTAACAGGTGCTACCACCCCAAGTCAGGATGAACCTGGCAACAACAGCAATTAAGAGGCGGTTTCCTGTGCCTCAAAACCTCCAATCTCCCGAACAGATGCCATGCTGCCGGATAGAGTTTATCGTCATACTGAGTACGTTTTGACTTGGTAATAGCGATCAAATAGTTAAAGGCTTTTAAGGTTCTTTACGTTTTGTTTTTTTAATAGCAAATATGTTGTGGATTCCGAGATGAAATTCGGTCTCCAATGAATGACAAACGCAGTAATTAAAGATAAGAAATTAAATGTAATTACACAATAATATAATGGGTAATACTGTTAGTAAATCCAGGAATGCGTTTAATAGCAATATATATATATAGTCTTGAAGTAGGACTTCCTTAGAGTCTACGTGCTTGTAACTAACTTCTACAAGCGGTTACCTCACACTATTACTCTACCTCCAACTCTATCACAATCTCTGCTCACTCTCTCTATATTCTGACTGACTCTAGGTATTTAACGGCAGCAGTCCAAGGAACGCTCTTGTCGAGTCCACTTATATGGAAAAGGGGAGGACCCCATAACAAAATATAACAAGATACGACCTCAAGTATAAGGTTCTATCTCCCGTATTCTATTTTGTTTCTTAGGGATAGTTTCATTCATTTTGTTACTAATATATAATCGTGACAACACTTCGTTTTCGGACTTCAAATTCCATTCTACAAAATGAATTAACTCCCAGTTGACACATACTCTTAATAACTTCTGTCAATCAAAAGTCTTCATAAAAGGAACTGTTTGTCACTAAAGACTTTCCTTGTTTTCATCTCATGAGATATAAGACGGACATTTCGTTTTTGCTTCCTACCTACAGAAGTAAGAGCATGTATACGTTTACAAATACATTGTGTGCATTTAAAGATTGATTTATTGACAGATAAGCAAGCGATGGAATAGTGATGCTCAAAAGGTAAAAGAAATTGGTGTTTGGAAAACACTGTATTGATCAAACAAGTCTGTCTTATATGTCTGAGATGAGGTATTATGTATACTATTTACATTATTCGAACTATTGTCATCATTTTGTCGCCATATTTATTACAACGTTTCGGCTGTTGTACACACCTGCTTTATTCAGGTGGTTGGAATGTCGAAAAGAAACCTTTATTTCGCTCACTGGGGAACACTGTTCTAGTTCTATGTGCCATGTATAATGGATGTCAGTTATCAGTTATCTCTTGTTGTAAGTTCAATACCTGGGTACGGCAGTGGAGAACTTGGAGAGGTGAATTAATAGGAGATAACTGATAACTGACATGGTACGTGGAACTAGATAAAGTTTTCAGTTCGACATTCCAACCACCTGAAGATAGCCGGAGCGTACAACGGCCGAAACGTTGTTATAAATATGTCAACAATGATGAGGACAATAATCCGAATAATTTACATAATGAAAATATATTTCTTTCTTCAGAAAATTGATGTTTAATGCCTTTATCTCTCTTTTAGGACGTTTTATAGGAGGCCATGTTGTTTCATGTCCGTGTCCGCTATCAACGCGGATTCATATACTTAAAAGCAAAAGTCTCCTGTTAATTTCCCTTTCCAAGTTGTCAACCGCCTTAACCAGGTATTGAACTCACAACTCTTTGGGTACTGTCACTGGATCTAACTAACGCCTTATTCACTGCGCCATGTGTCCTTGAGGCACAGTGGATAATGGCGACAGAAGTGAGGACTGTAGTCCAAATAATGTAAATAGTGGTCAAACAATATTTCAAACATCTGTTAGACTGAGAATATGGAGGTAATGGTACAATAAAAAGAACGAAGAAATGAGTAAATATTATTGGAATAAAAGAAAGTTGTTTAATTCAATGTGAAAGGACAAATGGACTATAGATTTTAAAAAATTATTCTAGGAAAAGACGATGAAATGGGAGAAAGTGAGCTGAAAGTATATAACACTAGGAAATAAAAAGTAGGAATAACTGAATGAAAAATCGTCCTGAGTAAGACGATAAACTACATCCGACAGCAAGATCTTTCATAAGTAGCGTGGAACGACCTGTTAACTCTTTGGCTCAAACCACCGCTTTACAAGTGGTAGAGAAAAATGACGTAACGCTCAGCCACCGGTTGAACGGTGGGTAAACACTTGTAACTATTTTTATATATACCGTGAAAAATTATATATCAATTATTTGGGAATTTTGACTCAGGAGCTCAGGGAGAAGGGTACAAATATTCAGGAACGCAGGGCGCAAAATATTAATTGTGGTTTTAATTGCTGGTGTTCACATGTTCACTATAACCCGGGGTGGTATCACCTGTTAGGGTCGCAATAAAGGGAAAATACTTAATCCCAAAATTTGGATGAAATCACTATAAAAGGTTAAAAATAGGTTTTAGTACCAGCAATACATTTTTGTAAAAAAATTATTACTAGCAATGAATTTTGAAGAAAGAAATTATTACCAGCAATAATTTTTTGGGAAAAATATATTAACAGCAAGAAAAATCTTGTGGTCATTAAATAACCCATTGTGCTTGATATGCCGTAAATCTAAACAAACCAAATCAAACCAGAATGAAAAAGAAAAGAACAATGAAAAAAAGCAATGGATAAATAAACGAAGGAGAAAGAAATGTAAAACGGCAAAACAGCAAAGGAAGAAGAAAATAGTGAAAGACTTGGAAAGAATTCTAATACAAAAAGTAGCCATATGAGAAATACAAAATGATTGTAAAAATGATGACATATGTAAGAGAGAAAAGAACATGATACAAAACCTAAGAAATTCATTATGAAAGCGGGTTAGATATATGTTTCATGAATACACAATGGAAGTTTCAAAGGGCAAAAGAACAAAAACGAATATAGAATATGAAGATATTAAAGGGGAGAAGATACATATCTGTATGGAAATAAAGATAACGGTAGTAATAATAATGTAAGACATAGACTAACGAAAGAAGAAAAATTAATAAAATAGATTATTAAAAAAGAATTAAAGAAATTAAAGAAAAAAAAAGAATGAAAGAAGGAATGATAAAACGGTAAAGCAAAACAAAATGGATATAGTAACAAGAAAAATATTATTATTCCAAAACAAAGAAGATGACAAAAGAAAGAATACTTCATAAACAAGAGGAGTCTCTTCTTTCAAAAATCAGAATTTCAAGAGCTAATCCCGAAAAAATGGTTTGGGGATGTCGGTAAGGTACGAGAAGTTTTCAGCCGCACTTAACATAAAACAAACAAACAAACAGGAAAATAGAAGATTCTACCGTTACAAAAAAAAAAGAAACACGACATTAAACCACATAAATAGCGAATGTTTAAATTTGGTCAAAGAAAATACACGATGGTCTGAAAACATTCCTCTATTAGGAATTGTATAAACAACGCTGATTCGACTGTATATACAAATAGTATCAGTAGAGACTGAGATATGTCCTGGAGAACAGAAATGAAAAAGAAAGAACGAAGAAAAAAAAAAAGGAAGAATGAATAAAAAAAATGGAAAAATAAAAAAAAAATAAAGAAAGACAGAAATAAATAAATAAGAAAGATTGACAGAAAGATAGAAGACGGGAAAAGAATGAACAGATTGGCGGGAAAATATAATTATTCCCAAACAAGAAAGAAAATAAAAGGAATAAAGCAAATAATCAAGAAAGAACGAAATGAAAAGGAAATGTAATAAGATAGAAAATTGAAAAAAGAATGAATACATTAACATAAATAAAACTGTAATAATCCCAAAATAAGGAAGATGACAACAGTGTGAAAGAAAGAAATAGGATACAAAGAAAGAAAAAAGATAGAAAAAGGAAAATAAGTATGACTACATTAACATATAAACAGAATTATTTCAAAATATTAAAATAAAGAAAAGAATCTAATAGACAGAAAGAAAGAATGAATGAAATAAAAAAAAATGCATGGGCTGTTTAATATAAAATGTACTTATATCAAAGTATGTAAGATGACAAAAACAAAAAAAAAGAACAGAAATCAAATGAAACTAAATGAATGACGAATGTGGCAAAAAAAGAAGGAAAAATTATCTGAAAATAAGAATGAGGTGAGAAAGTGAAAATGGACTTTCAAATTTATAAATATACGGCCTAGTGTTATCGCTAGCAGAATATGTACATCAAAAAGTGACTTTTTGTAGATGCAGTGGATTTACAGCAATCATCCTTGGATTTTCATCAGCCCAAATGCGACAATTCTGCTTATTAACGAATTCACCAAGATAGAAATGGGCTTTATCCTTGAAGAGGTTTTTTTTGCGAAAAATCTTCATCAGCTTGTCTTTGCTCGTGCACCTAGATGAGGAGTGTACGGCGCTCCAAATGGTCAGCTAGTTTCAATTGTCTCAGTTGAATTTCTTAAGCGAGTAGATACATTTTTTCTTTCAAAATTTCATGTAACGTTGTTGTGTAGTGGTTCAATTCCTGCGCACAATGACGAAGAGAGGTATCTGGATATCCGGCCACATTCTCGTGCACTGCAGCAGTATTTTTAGCAGGATGATGTAAAGGAGCACGCAGTTGTGTTTCCACATCTGCCATCGAACCAGTTTGTTTAAATTTACGAACAATTTTTCCAATTGCACTCCCGGTTGGTCGATTATGTTGACCAAACAAATCGCGAAGTGCGCGAAATTCATTTCTGTTTGAAATTCTATTTTCTTAATAGGTTTCATATTGTTTCATTGTTAATCTTTCCGCGTTTAAAATTGCTAAAGACTTAAGTTGTTAAATCCGAAAGAAAAAGAAAAAAAATCATTAGACTCTTAAACTTAATTCACATTTAATATCCGTCCAAGATATTGAAGCACTGTATATAAAGAACATATAGCTAAATAATCAATAAAGAGAAAAATAAGTAAGCAACAAATAAAGCAGTTTAATATGAAAGTCAAAGCAATATTCATTAAGACAATAATAATAATGAAGAGGTAAAACCAAACGAAATACAATGTAAAGAAATAAACAAAATATTTTGAAAAAAGTCTGTATATATAAAATATTAAGAAAGGGGGACAAATGTGTGAAGCCTTAGAAATATCTCAACAACAAATCAATAAGAGAAAGTTCCCATTGTAATTATGTTTCATACACATACTGTAGACATCTAAATACACACAAGTCAATATATTGATCATTTATTTGCATTCAAGCATGGGAAAATACTTTCTGCAGCTAAAATTTGTTGCTCGGATATGTCGAGCATTGTCTGCCGTGAATCTGTCCGAGTATCCGTTTTACCGCCATTAACACAGAATTCCGCGCCATTACGGAAGACTTACTGACAATGACGTATGGCGGCTGCATTGAACGTCGAAGGTCACATATGGGACACATTGATAATAGTCATCATCTGTACATTTACTCTGTCCAACAAGACAATCGAGACGTTATAAAGGAGGTGACCGCGGGGTAACATATGTCCAGAACCGCGTATTCAATAATTATGCTCAGTACAAATAAGCTATGTACATATTGCAATAGGATTATATATATATATATATATATATATATATATATATATATATATGACTTAATTCACACATTCATTACGTCTTTTTATTTTTATAATGGGGCAGATTATTATGTCTGCATTATACAATCAAACACACAAACAGACACACACAGACACATACATATATATATATATACATATTTGATTACGCGTTTCGCCTTTCTAGGCTTCATCAGATCCAAAAACCAAAGAAATGTGTGTATGCTCATATGTGTGCATGAGTAGATAATGAATCACAGTACTTTTACACTAAGCTGGCGTTTTACGTGAAGCACTATGAATCATTTTCCCACTCATTGGTCATGTTACTGTTCCTAATTAATCCACGCCCATTAACAATTTTGGATATACTGCTTTGCTTGGGATGAAAATAGTGTTACTGACATATTGTTTAGACGATATGTGCTGCCCACAATATGTCCTGACCTCCAGCTTAACTTCAATGAAACATCCACATCTCTAACCTAGATCTCCACAAATCATATGACCCCGATGGTATCCCTGTAATAGTCATCCCGTATTAGCTCCTGTTCTGTCTAAACTCTGTAATAAATTCATCCGTGACCCCTGCTTTCCTTTCTGCTGGAAGTCATCATCTGTTGTTCCATTTTGTAAGAACTCTGGTAAATGTCCGACCCTTCCAACTATTTGTCTGTCAGCCTTGTAACTGGTTTTGGGAAACACCTATAGGCCCTAATCATCGGTGAATTGATTCATCGTTTCTTATCGCAAGACCTTTTCTCAGACAAGGAATATGGCTTTCGTTTCTGTAGGTTATCGGCAGATATACTGACGATATTTACGGAGTGAGTTTATCATGCTCTATATAAAAACGGTGAAGCAGGCATTATTGCCTTTGACACCTCGAAATTCTTTAACAAGATCTCGCATTCAGGTTTTCTCCATAGGCTGAAAAGTTACGGTGTCTCTGGACACTTCAGAACTAATCTAGTCTTTTCTATCAAATCGTAAAATGAGAGTTATCCTGAACGTCCACTTGTCTACATCCTTTCGTACTAACACGGATGTCCCCAAGGTCTCCATCCTTGGTGCTAATATATTTTTAGTTTTAATTAATGACCTTCCTAATGACGTCAGCTCTCAGTTTGATTTCTACGACGACGACATAGCAATTTACTCCTGCATCAAGATCAAAATGGCAGCTAATGGCAGCCGATGTCCAAAACAACCTGAAGACTGTGGTTAATTGGGAAAAAATATGGCTTGCTAATCTTAACACCTCGAAAACAAAACATCTCTACATTAATCATCTGAGAGACCCCTTGCAGCCATCCATCATCATGGCTGATGTTATCCTCCAAGAAACTGACTCGTTCAGCCTTTTCCGGCTAACGTTCTCAGCTGACATGATGTAGAAAGACTATATTGAATCCATTACTAGGTCAGCTAAAAATCTCGTTTCGATATTTCGTGCGAGGCAACTATTCTCTCCAGATTGTATCATACATATCAATAAGTATATATTTGTCCGTGCTTAGAATATTGCTGCTACATATGGTCAGCTTACCTTAATCTCCTTGATAAGATCTAAAGAAGAATCTGCAATATTATTGGTAGTGACCTGGCAGCTCAGCTCCTGTTACATTTCTACTGCCGTAAAATTGCCTTTCTACATCTTTTCTATAAATAATTTCATAGCAAAAATTTAAATGCAATATCAATCTTTATCTACAGTCCACCTGATTGCTCCTTTCTCTTTCTGCTCTTTATTATGTTACTAATTCATCCACAACCTGTAATCCGTTACGTTCAAATGGATTTACTGCCTTGCTCGGGGTGATTCCGATAAAAACCAATTATAAGCATTCCTGACAATATCATTGACCGTTTTTATTTCATTCCTTGTATAAACTCGCTTCATATATAAGAGAAAAAAATCGGGATTGTTTTTCGAAACCTCTTCTTAAAGTCCTTGTCTTGGTATAAAGCTCTACAAATAAAACATTGTGACGATCATATTATGTTCTGATACGAAGTAAAAACACTTTAATTTTCTTTAATGAATATTTTGACACTATACCTTACATAGTAACTATTAGTTTTCACATATGAAATGACACACTTTATAGGAAATGAATAAGACGTTTCGGAAATGTTAAATGGCTAATTTATTTAGTTGAAATAGGCACCATGTTGCTGAATAATCTTTCGCCAACGTACTTCTAAGTTATTGAGCCCATCTTTAAAAAGGTGTGATAAACAGTCCAAATGTTTCGATTACATCTTTCGTATTAGAGGATGTTTTATTGTATACGAAAAGCTCAAAATGAGTAAATAAGTCATGATTAGTAGGAGAGATATCAGGGGAATATAGAGATTTCGTAATTCAGATAATGCAGCTTTTGGACAATTGATTGAGAAACGGCCGGCTGTGCTTTTTCGTGCCGCAAAAATGGCCGATTCCTATTCGCAAATCTAGGATGTTTCTTTTTCAATTTTTCTCTCGGGGCAAGAATGAATAATGAATAAACCCTTTGATTGACAACCATACAGTAATCATTAAAATTTGAGGGTGCAATGGATGATTTGAATATCGTTTTGGGGAACCACTTGCAGATAACCATTATCCTACTCTCTAAATCTTGTCAAATAGTATTCATTTCTCATCGCATGTAATGATTCGATAAAAACATGGTTCTTTTTTGTAGTTTGTACTCATACAGTAAGCTTACACGACATTTCATTGTGCTTATAATTGGCAATATATTGGAAGAAAGACTATGTGGAAAGAAAGAAAAATCAGGAATAAGTTAAGATTTGTTATATATTATGGAGGTTACTTCGTTAGACGATCGGATCAACAACCATCGAAGTAATGCACCATTTCATTTCCTAATAAATTCAATAAACTCATATCTATATACCTGGTTATCGTAATACTACCACAGCTAAATATTATATTATACTGGGATTACATTTTTTAAAAGTTTATTTTGGAATTATAATTACCGGCATTTGCATATGTATGTAAAAGAAATTTCATTTATGTATTATGTTTGAGTTGTGAAAATTCATTCTTTATTTTTTAAGTGGGGTTACTAGTTTTATATTAAAAATAAAAAATATTAATTTATATTAAAATATAAACATTAATTTACATTAAAAATAAACCGTTACACTAAAAATTAAACAGTTATTTACATTAAAAATTATTTGTATCAACGTATTTAAGCAGATATATATGTTTATGCTTACATTTGAACATCACTTCATTTCACTTCTTTAATAATCTCGCGTTATTTAACTGTTTTAAGATAATTAGATTTTCAACAA